TGTTGCATATTATTGCACTGTGTGTATACACCATAGTTTGGTTATCCATTCGTCTGTTGATGGGCACATAGGTTGTTTCCATCTTTTTGCTATTGTAAATAGTGCTGTGATGAACATGGGTGTGCATATATCTGCTCTTGTCCTGGCTCTCATTTCTTTAGGATAAAAAAACCAAAACCAAATTCACTGCTGTCAAGTTGGAGTTGACTCATGGCGACCCCTCCTTGGATTTCCAAGGCAGTATCACTACAGAAGTAGATTGCCCAATCTTCCTCCTGAGGAGTGGCTGGTAGGTTTGAACTGCCAATCTTCTGGTTAGCAGTCAGATGCCTTAGGCACCACACCATGGTATTGCTGAGTCAAATGATATATCTAATTCCAGATTTTTAAGGAATTGCCATACTGTTTCCATAGTGGTTGTATCATTTTACAGTCCCACCAGCAGTGTGTGAGAGTCCCAATCTCTCCACATCATGGGCAGCATTTGTTATTTTCTGTCTTGTTGAACTTTGCTGTTAATGCTGGGGTGAGATGGTATCTCATTGTTTTGATTTGCATCTCTCTAATGGCTGATGATCGTGAGCAGTTCTTCATGTATTTGTTGGCCGCCTGAATATCCTCTTTAGTGGTGTCTATTCATGTCTTTTGCCCATCTTTTAACTGGATTGTTAATCTTTTTGTTGTTAATATTTTTGTTGAGGTGTTGCAGGTTTCTATAAATTCTGGAGTTAAGTCGGATATGTAATTATCAACAAGTATGAATTTGTTGCTGTCATTTTTTATGTGCTTTTTCATGGTGTTGATTTCTTTGTTCCATATAATTTTCTGTGCTGAGCTTGTTTTGTTTATGAAATATGTTATCACTTCCTTCGTTGCTGTTGTTTTAGTATTTGCTAAATATTTGTGCTGGTCCTCTTTTGTATTTTAATGTGAAGGTTTATCATTTTTCTTTGAGGTTACCTTTTGATTTACAATTTTGTTTCCTAGTTTAGAACAGTCCATTTTATCTAGTAGTTGTCTTGACTTCCCTACCCTATAGAAGTTCTGTAACTACACGATTTTTTCCTGCTTTTTGGTTTGTAGTTGTCTTCATTGGTCAATTGATGTCTCTGGTTCCCTGTTTACAATCTTGTGGGCTTATTTACTTTGGATACATCTATAACTGGGTTGGTTTCTGGGTTATGTCATCACATGTGTTCATGGTCAGTTGTTTGCTGTTGTTGGTTCTCTGTCCAAAGGACTCCCTTTAGCATCTCTTGTAAGGTTGGCTTGGTTTTAACAAATTCTTTTAATTTATGCTTATCTGGAAATGTCCTAATTTCCCCATCATATTTGAGGGACAATTTTGCTGGGTATATAATTCTTGGTTGGAAATTTTTCTCTTTCAGTGTTTTATATATACCATCCCATTGTCTTCTTGCCTGCATGGTTTCTACCAAGAAATCTGAGCTTAGTCTTATTGGTTGCCCCTTGTAGATAATTTTTTGTTTTTCCTATGCTGCTTTCAGAATTTTTCTTTGTCTTTGGTTGTGGTGAGTTTAATGTTTTGGTGATTTTCTTTTGGGGTCTATCTTGTTTGGGGTTCGTTGGACTTCTTGAATGGATGTATTCTCATCTTTTATCATACCAGGAAAATTCTCTTCCAGCAAATCTTTGACAATTTTCTCTGTGGCTTTATTTGCCTCTTCCTGTTCTGGAATTCCAATTACACATAGATTATTCCTTTTGATGGTATCCCATTTTGTTTTGGTCTTTTTTTCTGATTGATCCCTTTTCAAAGAAGTATTGAGATATTTGCCTTCAATCTCACTAATTCTATCTTCCATTGATTAAATTCTACTCCTTTGCTCATTCAATGTGTTAACTATTTCTGAAAATTTAGTATTAACCTTCTGGATTTCTTTGTGTAGATTTTGTATCATTTCTAATTTTTCATTTATTTTGTCATTTTGTTCTTGTATTTGTCTTTCAGAATTGTTCTAGGGTTTTCTGTGTTTTCCTCAATTTTGTCAGTGTTTTCCTTGATCTGTCTCTCAATTTGTTGAAGGTACCTAAATATGATTCTTTTGAATTCCTCATCAGGG